GTCTTTATGGCAAAAAATATGATAAAAAGCTGTGCGCTTAACAGGCTGGTCAGCTCATGACTGTAGTCTTATTACATTAACATATATATGGAGAAAAGAAAATAACCCATAAATGAAAGAAACAGAAACGGAAAATTGGAGATCTATATCAACAAGTTGCTTTGTAGTACAGGTTGCACTGAACAGAGGGGCACCTTTTATCTTGGTGTATTTTTTCCCCTCCTTTTCTCACTCTCTTCACCTACCGATTGTACCTGAGGTGAACTTATCTGACCTGCCTGGACTCCCTTATGTAGACTCTGGCAGTAGCTTTTTAGTATTCGAATTGGGTACATGTTGTTTGCGGTGATCATCTACCTCTACCCTATAAGTAGGCCTGACCAAACTCCACTTTGCCCAAGTTTGCAGTATTTTACATTCCCAGAACATGTAACTAATTATCCCTAACTGGTCCCTGTATCTCCAGCACCAGGGTGTCAAGTTAGAATAAATGTGATTGTCAACATGATGATGGACGATGGCCACTGCGGATCCATGCCAAATTATAGCCCCACATCCGCCCACGGTGATGACGACGTCTGCGTGCATGTGACATCACGCAGGAGACGTGCGCAAGTTCTGGGGTTAAAAGTCGATTTCCGCCATTCAGATGTGTAAAAGGCTTATTTAAACACATTTTTACTTCTCCTCTTTGCCGAGTCGTGATTTCCCTTCGTGGTTGTCCGAGAGTGTGTTCCTGAGCGTTTATTTCTGATTATTGACTCTGGCTTCGTTTTGACTTCCCTGTATTCTGGTATCCTTGACTTTTGGCTTTCCCTCATCATTGTGTCTCATTCTGTGCCCCACACCTCTGCAAGTATTCTGACTATTCTCTGGTACATTAAGTCTGGCCATTCTAAGGCCCAGTAGGATGTTACCTATTAGTCCTAGGTGTGATACAGTTCTACATGCTGGATCAACTAGTAATACTGACAGGTCGTCTATGCATCTGGTTGCTTCCTTAGTATGTGCTAATGATTGTCTCCACTGGTGTACAGTGAATTCCATTTGTATTTCTGACTCCCATTTAATCATGCATGGGAATTTTGCGTTTTGTTAGCATCTTGCAGGGCCTTGTAAAAGATCAATAGGGGTTTCCCACTCTGCTTCTCCCCTACACACAGGTGCCCACATTTGCCCATTGTTGTTTGTTGTGGTTTTGGCCCAGTAAGTTTTTGCACCATATGCTTAATCCTCAGGTATGTGAATAGTTCACTGCTTGGAAGGTTACAGTTGCAAGAAAAAGTATGTGAACCCTTTGGAATGATATGGATTTCTGCACAAATTGGTCATAAAATGTGATCTGATAATCATTTAAGTCACAACAATAGACAATCACAGTCTGCTTAAACTAATAACACACAAAGAATTAAATGTTGCCATGTTTTTATTGAACACACCATGTAAACATTCACAGTGCAGGTGGAAAAAGTATGTGAACCACTAGATTAATGACATCTCCAAGAGCTAATTGGAGTGAGATGTCAGCCAACTGGAGTCCAATCAATGAGATGAGATTGGAGGTGTTGGTTACAGCTGCCCTGCCCTATAAAAAACACACACCAGTTCTGGGTTTGCTTTTCACAAGAAGCATTGCCTGATGTGAATGATGCCTCGCACAAAAGAGCTCTCAGAAGACCTACGATTAAGAATTGTTGACTTGCATAAAGCTGGAAAGGGTTATAAAAGTATCTCCAAAAGCCTTGCTGTTCATCAGTCCACGGTAAGACAAATTCTCTATAAATTGAGAAAGTTCAGCACTGCTGCTACTCTCCCTAGGAGTGGCCGTCCTGTAAAGATGACTGCAAGCAAGAGCACAGCGCAGACTGCTCAGTGAGGTGAAGAAGAATCCTAGAGTGTCAGCTAAAGACTTACAAAAGTTACTGGCAAATGCTAACATCCCTGTTAGCGAATCTACAATACGTAAAACACTAAACAAGAATGGATTTCATGGGAGGATACCACAGAGGAAGCCACTGCTGTCCAAACAAAACATTGCTGCACGTTTACAGTTTGCACAAGAGCACCTGGATGTTCCACAGCAGTACTGGCAAAATATTCTGTGGACAGATGAAACCAAAGTTGAGTTGTTTGGAAGAAACACACAACACTATGTGTGGTGAAAAAAAGGCACAGCACACCAACATCAAAACCTCATCCCAACTGTGAAGTATGGTGGTGGGGGCATCATGGTTTGGGGCTGCTTTGCTGCATCAGGGCCTGGACGGATTGCTATCATTGAAAGAAAAATGAATTCTCAAGTTTATCAAGACATTTTGCAGTAGAACTTAAGGCCATCTGTCTACCAGCTGGAGGTCAACAGAAGGTGGGTGTTGCAACAGGACAATGACCCAAAGCATAGAAGTAAATGAACAACAGAATGGCTTAAACAGAAGAAAATATGCCTTCTGAAGTGGCCCAGTCAGAGTCCTGACCTCAACCTGATTGAGATGCTGTGGCATGACCTCAAAAAAGCAATTGACACCAGACATCCCAAGAATATTGCTGAACTGAAACAGTTCTGTAAAGAGGAATGGTCAAGAATTACTCCTGACTATTGTGCACGTCTGATCTGCAACTACAGGAAACGTTTGGTTGAAGTTAATGCTGCCAAAGGAGGTTCAACCAGTTATTAAATCCAAGGGTTCACATAATTTTTCCGCCTGCACTGTGAATGTTTACATGGTGTGTTCAATAAAAACATGGCAACATTTCATTCTTTGTGTGTTATAGTTTAAGCAGACTGTGATTGTCTATTGTTGTGACTTAGATGATGATCAGATCACATTTTATGACCAATCTGTGCAGAAATCCATATCATTAAAAAGGGTTCACATACTTTTTCTTGCAACTGTAAATTTCCGCTGTAGTCTAGGGAATGGCATCAGCTCAGAGCCCTCGAGCAGGTGTTCAATTCTCTGAATTCCCGCTGTGACCCATGGGAGGAGTGGCATATCTGCCATGTGATATCTCATACTCTGCAGGGGAGCGTACCATATAGGGTCAGACGGCACCAACAACACCCTTGCCCACCTTCGCCACACCTGTAGTTGACATGCGCACAGTCGTTATTCGGCTTGTGGCATTTCCCAAAAACCCCACCCCAAGAAACACAGACACCAAATTCTTTGTTGGAAATATATAAAGTCCACAGCTTTATTTTAATGTAATTATAAACAAGTTAACAAATTAGGGTCATTGCCATATAATAATAAATTAACCCCAACCCCCTTCCGTACAGCATTACCCCTGGCAATGACCCCATGCCATAAACAATATATAACAATATAAATAACACATAATATATAACACACGGCCTACCAAAGAGGCCCCATAACCATAACTTTCTTAACTGTAGGGGTGTACCGAGACACCCCTACACCACCAGGTTCGGAGCCACCGAAGAGCTCGAACCAACAGACCACTTACCACTCTGGCCTAACCCAGCCTAACCTTAGCCTAGCCACTTAATACTCCTCTTCCATCCCAATTACCCTAGCCCTATCCCGCCATAGCCCGAGACCTGATACCTTAACGTCTCGAGCGCCCCCCACCATACAAAAATAGGGCCTGAGCTATGCCCTTCTGAAAACCTAAATTTAGTAAATCGCACCCCACTTCGGAAAGGTGCACCCCATCCTTGCGAAAGTACCCAGGCAACATGGCCTCTAACTCCCAGTGTCGTACTGTAACCCCGCCTGACCTCCGGACGAAAACTGACATAGCTCTATTCACTTTTCCCCGGCATCGCGCCACAGCAGCTGGGTCCCTGGCATGTCTCCAATTAAATCTCGGCACCATCTCGGACCATACTACCACCATGCCAGGCACCAGCTCCCGTAGCCGATCCAGATCCCGCTTCATTCTCCTAATTAGTTCCCTCTGAGGAATCAATCCCAAATCGTTACCCCCACCGTGAATAAGTAGTATATCAGGGGAAGCCCCCCCTGACACCATCCTAAAAATTACTCCACTAATGTTCTGCCAACTGAAACCACGAAAACCAAACCACTGTAACTCCACCGTTTCCAGAAGAAAACCCAGCTGTGTTCCATTCCTCCGAACTGCGGCCCTCTTCTGCGCCCAAAAAATGTAAGAGTGACCCACCAACCAGGCAACCATACCTGTAAAGAAACAGAATCAATTAACTTGCGGAGCACGTATTGAAAACCCCCCAACCTGACCCTGACCACGTTATACCAACCAATCTGGTCTCACATACGAACGAAAACGAATGGACTCCCACCGACCGATCTGCTTAATCCGTTCGTCCCCCAGGCCCAGTCGTGCCGCCTCCGTTGCCGCCCCGATGCGAAACGAATGAGTGCCAAATTGCATGGGATGTAGGCCCAACCGCTTAAGCCCCATGCGAAATACCCGGATAAATTGAAAACGTGACAGTGCAAAACCGTCTTCATGGATAAAAAAGCACCCCGACTCCTCTGGGCGAATGTGTAAGAACTCGCGCCCGCAGGTAACGAGAACAATACCACCGGGCAGACCTCCGACCCAGGTAACGAGAACAATACCACCTTCCTTCCTCTCCCTGTCACTGAGGATCCGTCTTAGGAGGAGCGTGCTGTAGACAGTTGAATAGGAATTTGTAGGCCTAGCTAGTCAAACTGGAACAGCATACAATAAATCCTCCCCCAATTGAGACGACACTTCACTTTGCGGAACTCCTGTAGAAGTCCCATACAAACCTACCAAAATAAAACCATCAAACAACAATGTGCACAATCGCCAGCCCCCACACAGCCCTTGCAGGTGCAAACGACACTGAACCATGGTCCTCTCATTTCACCGGCAGAGCTTTTTCACAATAAAACTCTTGGTAAATCCTACATTCATTAAAATAAAACCAATAACGCCAGGGGACATGTAACGGTCCACGCTGGAGGGCGAGGCCCCGCCTGCCAGTAACCGACACAACAACCATAACAATGTGTCAAACCTACCTGCTGCAGAGGACTCCCCTCCCGTCTGCCCTACCATCTCCTCCCATTCCGTCCAAACCTTAGTGTACGCCGCCCAGGTGCCTGGCGCTAAGGAACTCCTTACGAAATCCCCAAGCACGATGTCCCGAGCTGCCATATGTCTTCTGGGCACGCCTGACCCGTATCTTGTGCGCCCGGAGCTGCCTCCCGAAAACGTTCCCACTGTGAACGAGACAGCGCGTCAGCAACAACATTCAACAAGCCCGGAACATGCCGGGCCCTGAAAACAATATTCCATGACATACAAAGAAGAACCAAGTGTCTCAACAACCGTACTACAGGCAGCGACGAAGCCGAAATACTATTGATCGCTTGTACCACCGCCATGTTGTCCGAGTGGAAAATCACCTTCCTGTTCGCGAGTTCCTCGCCCCACAGAGCTACTGCCACCACCACTGGGAAGAACTCCAGGAAGGCCAGATTCCTGATTAAGGAGCTTTCCTTCCAAGACCTAGGCCACTCCTCCGCGCACCATTTCCCCCCCAGGTACGCCCCAAAACCCACGCTCCCCGAGGCGTCGGTAAATAAACCTATGTCCTCCGACGTCGCTGCTGAATCCCTAAAATAGACACGGCCGTTAAACTCCCGTAAAAAGTGTATCCATACATCCAAATCCGCCCTCATGTCAGCTGAGACCCTGATGTAATGACCCGGAGACCGCACTCCACACGTAGCTCGAGCCAACTGCCTGCAAAGTTCATCTGACCTCCCGCCGGTCAGTGCCCTGGTTAGTCCAGCAACCCACCCACAAAACAGAAACAGCAGTACAGCCCACCCACAATAACTGGTTACTACACTTGGGTAGAGGAGAACTTTGTCCATGT